AACAATATGTCATTTCATCCTATGTGTAAAAAAGGATCCATCTCACCTACATAATGTTTCCTGATGATTTACTCCTGCTTTTGGATGGATCTAATTTTGGAGTTCAGAGCATTCAAAGGGTTTTAGACTAGTTAAGAAAGTTGTTTGATCTTAAATCAAATCCAGAAAAGTATGATTTGTTTTGTGGTGGGATTTCTATTGAGTGGCATAATCAAATGGCATCGAGAACTAGTTATAAGCTTGGATAGTTGCCTATCATATATCTTGGGCTCCCATTGATAGCATGGAAGTTATCTATTAAGACTTGTAAGCCCCTCCTGAACAAAATATATAGTCGAATTCATGGGTGGAAAACAAAGACTCTGAGTTGGCAGAATTCAACTGATAATCTCTGTGCTTTATAGTTTAACTCAATTTTTGATGGCAGTTTTCATTCTTCCTAAAGCTATTATTAAGGAAATTGAGAGGTTATGTAGTGATTTTTTGTGGGGGTGGAGGGGTTGTAGTTGAAGGAAGAAAGAAGGTAGTTGCAGCTTGCCAGTTTGTTGTTTTCCCTAAGAAGAAATGTGGCTTGGAATTGACGGAGCTTTGTAGCTGGAATTTTGCTTGTATTTTGGGTTATATTTGGAAAATCCTTTTAAAAGCAGGTTCCTTGTGGGTAGCATGGCTCTGGAAATACAAGTTGAAGAGTCACAGTTTCTGGGATGTCATTCTAAGGCAGGCTCCTAGATATGGCTCAAATTGTTGGAAAGTAGGGAGAAAATCCAGTATATGATGGCTATTTCAGATGAGGGTGTGACTTGGAAGGGGAAGCCAATGAAACGATTTAGTATCAAAGAGGTGTGGTCAGAGTTTAGGCCAAAGGAAGTTTTGGTTCCTTGGTTCCAGTTGGTTTGGAATGGTCCATTTATACCAAAGAATCCATTTTTAGCTTGGATGATTGTGAAGAACTATATCCAGACATGTGAAAAGATGTGTTAGTTGGGGGGATAGCGAGTCCTCTCTCGTGTTGTTTTTGTTCTCACATTTTGGAGACTAGATCCCATTTGCTTGCTACATGTCCTTATTTTAAAGAGGTAATTGTAGGACTGTTAGCTGGGTTTACAGATAGACTCCCGAGTGATAATTAGGATGTGGAGCTTCAATGGGCTATTTGTGCTTTGCTCTTAGCTCATTATAGTATTGATAGCATAACAGTTAGTTTTTGAATACAAGTTTACAAATTCCCTTGAGTAGAATGCTCATATTTATATAAGCTAATTGTGGCAGGGGTGTTGCCATTTACTATACTTAGTGATTTTACTGATGAAATATAAGCTATGCCGATTCATCGGCTTTTTTGTTGCAATTTTATATAAAGTTTTTAGTACTTTATAATTATTTAATCTTTTTTTGAAAGGTAGATAATTATTAAATCACTAACATAAATTATTCACTAATTTTATTTTTATATAGACAGCTAAAATTAATTAATCATTAAATTTTGAAATATTTATTATATTGTGTAATTAAATCTCATAATATTATACCATTTCATTATAATTTATAATTATTCAAAATAATATTATTATAGAATAGCCAAAGTATCTAATTTACTACTTTGTATCGTTAATTTTATAGTTATTTAGCAACATTTTATTGGCAAAAGTTTATGAAGATACTAAATATGATTTCGTTTGTCCATAATTTTTTATGAAACTTTTTCCATTAGAAAAGTAATTTTTATAAATTTAATTTTTTTTAAGTGTCCCAAAAATTTGATATAGAATAATTATAAAATCTTTATTTTTTAAAAAAATTATGGGAGCCAAATGGTATTTTTTTGTGCGACAAATAGCAGTTCAATATATTTAAATAAAAACAGATAAATATATGTTAAAAATAATGTGAAAATTATATAAAGTTGTATTTGTTTGGTAATAGTAACTACTACATTTTCAAAAATATTATCTTTCATATCAATCACGATTAACAATTCTCAATTTTGATTATGATATAAAAAATTTAAAAAACTATTCTCATGATAATTAAAAAAAAACTAAAGGCTCATCACATAAATCATTTCCATAGATGAATGGAATTAGACCGTCGAGCTACAGGTTCTAGCCATAACACATGTGGATCAAATTGTCCAATTTTCTATGGAGGAGGTCAAATCCACCCGCTTCAAAACAACTCATTCTCTACTAGGCCAAATGTTCACTGAGAAGAACAGTGCGATGAATGAAATTTGGCAAGCTCTAAATATGGCATGGCAGGGGCAAGGGCATATTCGAGCGTCAGAAGGAAGAGAAGGATTGCTGGAGTTTGTTTTTCCGAACGAGACATCAAAGAACTGGGTGCTTAAGAGGACACCGTGGATAATTAAAGACAGTATCCTGCACCTACGTCCTTGGACAGTAAACGTCACCTCGCAAACATTTGCTGAGCTAACTATAGTCCCATTCTGTGTTCAGCTTTGGGACGTCAATGAAGATTGCCGCACCCCGCAATTCGGGAAGAAAATGGTGAGATCAATCATTGGAAGGGTGCTCGAAGCAGGTGTCGTTGTCTGCTCGGAAACTAGGCTCACCTTCGTTAATGTGAAAGCGTGTATAGACTTCATCAAGCCATTACGATAGCAGCTCCTAGATTTGAATCAATATACTGGGAATTTATGGATCTCACTCAAGTATGAATACCTCCCTAGTTTTTGCTATCAATGCGGTCGGGTTGGCCATTCCTTCCGTACCTGCACTTTTGCTCCCCCAGCTGGCAAGGAGAGGTTCCGACCGCATATGTCCACCAAACTCATGGGGATTAAGTTCTATAGTGAACGAGAGGATAGTAGGCCTTTAAACAAATTCTCTAGTTCAATTTGGTTTAACACTAAATCAACTGGAGAAAGAAAAACCAATCTTAGAACTGGTCGCAATCCAGAAGATCAATCTAACCAGGCTGCGATGAATAACCAGCAGCACTCACAATTGTCGGGGCCTAGACGAAAATCTCTTGTCACTAGTGATTCGATATACCCATCAAAGGCTTGTGACTGGAAAAACTTGGATAGAAGAAGCCCTCGTGGTTTCCCCTTGTCTAAACAAACTAAAGTGCAAATTGCGTGTGGGAAAGAATTCCAAAGGGACCGTCAGATTGTGGCTGAAGATGACGATCAGAGGGATGGGTGAAAATTGGAACTAAGTCACTCGCCTGGTCAGTCGATGTAAATGGAGCGGGATGAAGGAAGCATGTCAAGAATCGGTGAAAGGCAAGTCAAGATTGGGAGGGGGGAGGACCTATGTTTGAAGGCTGGAATGAGCTTCCAATAAGCGGAAAGTCCATTTTGGGGATATGGGACAACATGAAGGGGAGAAATTCCCCATGCATGCATAGGACGTGGTGGAGATCGAGGGGAGTATGAATACTCTCCCTGCTCAAGAGGCTCGTGGGAGACCAAGAGGGAAATTAGTGTGTAATACAACGAATCATTCCCAGATGTTGGCAGAGATGGGGAAGCAGGATAATCCCTACAAGATGGACCATACGGTAACCAAACATGGTGAAGCCTAGATTCGTCTGGGATGGAAGAATCTTAGCTAGTTAGGTGGTAGGATTCGGGTTCAAGAAGAAAATGACATGACTCGGGAATCATTAATGGAGGACGAAGACATACACTTCAATGTGGAGTCTGATGACCTATTGTCCTCACCTTCCCCTCACCATGCTCAGAAGAATCGGCCTAACATTGGGGATTTAATTAACCAGGATACTGAGGATTCAGAGACTACTATGTCGGAGGGAAAGGAGTCCTCTCCAGGATCAGGTGGAGGAAGCCATCCTAAAGTGGCCCCAAATGGATAAATTAGGCTTCTGGCCTATAATGTGCGGGAAATTGGACCATCCCTCACTCTTGAAACTGTTGTAGGGTTAGGTTTTGATTTTTCTCATTGTTTCTTTATAGATGCGATTAATGCATCGGGTGGTCTAGTAGTAGCTTGGTCCCCCCGGAGTTGATGCTTCGGTGATTTACCATTGTAGTTTTTCCAATTGTGTTCAAATTAATGAAAGGGATTTATCTTACATTGTGGTTTGTGTATACATTAGTTGTAACGAGCTAATAAGAGCCAGTCAATTGGCCCAACTTCGTAGCATTTGTGAAGAAATATAATTACCCTATGTGGTAATAGGTGATTTCAATGTGATGTTGCACGAGAATGAAAAAGATGGAGGCAATACTTGGAATATGAATCAATCATTATCTCACCGGGACTGTATTCACGACCTTGGACTCCATGATCCTGGCTATCAATGTGACAAATTCACCTAGACAAATAAATGTATGGGACCTGCTTGTATCCGCGAGAGATATAATTATTGAAGATATAATTATTTAAACATCTCAAAAAAAATTCAAACAAGATATTGCTAGTTTTGAGTTTAGATTCTCACAGTTTTGTCTTGGAAGTATATTAAGGAGGTGACTTCTCGAGAAGTCATTCATTCTTGCATTGCACCACAATGAGCACGTTTAACTTCGCAGTTCTTAAAAGAGTTCTTTTATTTCACACCAAAACGTATCTTTTTAGTTAAAATCGGTATCATACCTATGAATCATTGATCTTTCCCGTCATTTGTCAACGTGAAATCTGACTAAAGTATTACAATTATAATAAACTTTTTATATTATGAGGTAGTAATTTTACCCTCTTCATGTTTTGAAGATTAGTAACTGCCAACAGCACCGATCGAGTTGGATTAATGGCTATTCTTATTGAGAATGAGAGCAATTCACACTTCTTATTCTTGGTTAAGAACAAAAAACTCAAATATCAAGTTTGTATACAAACATTATGGTTGCTAACAAGTTAGAAGACAGAGATTACAGTTGTCTTTTTCTCCGTTGTTTTATTGTTGGTATTGGCAGAACGAAACAAAAACACAAGAAATGACGAAACACAAAGTGAACTTCGTTTAAACCTTGTGGCTAAAAATCAACGGAAGAAAAAGTGAACTTCAATCCGGTAGACATTCTCATGGCTAAAAATCAACGGAAGAAAAAAGTGAACTTCAATCTGTAGACATTCTGGTGGACAGAAATCAAACCAACATTACTGTTAAGAAATAAGAAACAGGGGACTCACTATGACGTCGCAATCTCAAATCTCAAGGTTTCTTGAAGAGTTTCTAGCTATGGAAGATAAGTAAAACAGAAAGGAGTGGAAAAATAAAGCTAGCACTAATTGCCGATGTCCGATCAGCCCACAAAGGTGACGAATAACAGTAAACCTTATTTTCCCGGCCGTCGTGAGAGCAGACAATTGAGATTGAGTGTAATCTCTGCTCAAATCTCTGAGTTTCTCGCCCTTAATGAAGGTTTGACTTTGTGCACAGCATGTAAGCCGGGAATACGTAGGAAGAACCAAAGCTTCAATTCGCCATGACCTGCATCGACTTGCTGGAGATTAAACTAGTGGCTATTATAGTTTATAGAATAAATCCCTTCTCTCTTTCTTTATCGAGTCAGAAGAACAAAATTTTAACCCATACATGTATTCTGTTCTGCTACCACAAAAGTCTCCAGAGAATTCACTTCTCCACACATGCCCTTCAAAAAACCAACTTTGGCTGGTGAAGATTTACTGCAGGCCTAAGATCTTACTACATATGGCTACTAGTACTACTACCCTCACAATATCTATATGTACATAAAACGTGGATCATTCATAATCATATCCTTAGCTGGACTCCTCTCCAAACCCCGGCCTTCTTCAATGGTTTATTTCAAAACCAGCTTCTGATTCGGAAACTGCAACGCCACTAGTTTGCCACAGTTCGTGACATATGCATGTCCGAATCTGCTGCTGCTGCTCCTCCAATGTATCCTCCATTGCCAGAAACTGGAACCTCAGCGTCGCCAAGAAATGTCGGGCTGTGAGGCGCAGGGGTGAAGCATTGTGGGTGATTTGACTGCAGCACGTTTAGGTCCATCTGGTTAAACATCATGCTTGCTATGGATCGATCGATGGAGTTCGTCTCTGGTTCCATTCCTCTTTCTCCGGACCTTTAGTTACAAAAAGGGACAACTCACACAGGTCAGTAACTTGGAAACAGAAAGATTGCATATGGGGAAACAGAGTTGCTTTTAGTTGCAGACAAGGTGAAGCTTGTGAAGATCAATTGACTAACAAAAAACATAAAAGAACGAAAAGCAAGTCCTGAACTCTTTATGCAGCTTAATGAGGTGCAAAACCTACCATGTTGATCAATCAATAAGAATCATTCAAGAGACCAAATATGCAGTTGGGAAGCAGGACATGATTACCTTGATTCCTCGACTTGAGGTGCCCATGAAGAGGTGTCCATGGAAACATCATCACTTGCTACTTCATGGGGTCTTGAGTTTTTGGCCAAACGATACAAGGCATCACGAAAGCATATTCGGGTCTTGGTAGGCAGCTAATAGATTAAAAGGACAAGAAGCTATTATTACCATCTGCCATTTAATTGAACTGGTAAAAGACTTTTGACAACCATTTACAATACCTGTGCCATCATCAGTTCGAACTCATGCAGTGCAGACTCCTCCCTTGATGGTTCATTTTGTAGTTGAAAGTCTTTGCAGTCATCCTCAGATGTTGTTACTGATACAGTAAAAGGAGGTACCTTCAAAATGGATTGAAAATTATCAGTATAAGCTGTACCATAGATCAATGATCACAAAATAAGCTTTTAACCTAGTCAACCTAAGTTGGTACTCACTTGACTAAGTCATATAGAAGATTAAAATTCTACTACAAGATACTTGGGTGAAAGAACCATCCCCAAAATGCGACCTAGTTAAGAGTCAAGCCACAAACTTCCCTTCTTTGATGTACTTCTGTTGGCTCAACGAATTTCTAAACTGAAAATTATGTATATATCTAATAAGGGAGTAATATTCATGTGATATTCCTGAATGACAAATTCTAAAATTAGCTTGTGGGAAGATGTCACCTTTAGTTGATGAAGAACTGCCTTCTCCAAGTCGCATGGACTGTAGTGTGACGATGCAGCAAATCCACCATTGCTTGATATTGAGTCTGAATCTAAAGCGGTGGCTTCGGTCCAGAGATCATCAGCAGGAATCATGCAGTCTTGTGACTCAGATGAAAAGCAAGGTGAATTCTGTTCCATCTCTTGCATGTCATCAAGCAATGAACTCCTACAAAGAAAAAAGGAAGAAAAAGCTTTGATAAGCATACTGATAAAATAAATGAAGTACCTTAACAGCAGAAGTAAGAGTTGTACGTACAAGAAATGATCATCCATGGGCTCAAACCCTGACAGGCAGTCGAGTTGACTATCCGCCGCCTGACGGTGAAGGGACTGGTGGTATACAGGTGCTCGCCCACCAAAACTCGAACAACTAGATTGATCTCTATCTGGGATAGTACTGCACTCCATGTCGAATTGATGATTCGGAGAAGTCTGGGAGTCAAATCTGAGTTGTTCTGGATTCAGATTTGTAGGAGATAGCATGTGTTTGTGAGGATAGTCGTTGAAAGTATTGGAATCATTTAGTCCCCAATTTGACCAGCTATCAGGTGATTGGAATCCATCAGAATATCCTTGATCTTTAGGAACAACAAGATCATCGTACCCAAAATACCCATTCATCATGAGATCGTTTTCTACAAGAGCAAACCAAAAAAAATAGCACGCAAGATTAATAAACATTCCCCAACAATACTCCACAGGCATACAGAGAAACTGAAGTTTCTTAAATCTAATTTTAGTTGAGAATATTACTCCTCCGTCCCAGAACAGCTAGATACACAAAAAGGAAAATCCCATACTGAGAATCGCAGTTCTCTCGCAACTTCTTCCTTATCTTTTCTCAAGAACCAAGCAAATTAAGTAAACAAAAAGTAAAGGAACCCAATAGGCCAGTTCCTCAGGGGAACCAAAGGCGTAACAGAGGGATACCATGGAAGATGGAACCCTAAGCAAAGAAGTGAACAAATTTGAGCGTAAGCAGGACCAATTAATAGGACAGAAGAATACCCAGTTGTCGATTTCCAGAGATATGGCGCCGAGATCTAAACCCAGATGAGAAAATCAACCAGAAATGACAAGAACCCCTCGATGAAGGTTTGCAAGGGGAGGCGGCGGCTCTGATTTGCAGGGGGTTGAAAGCTCTGATTAGCTTCAGAGTATAACCAGCTGCAGACTTCCCAGCTGAGATTTATGTGTGTGAGAAGAGCGATGAAGTTCCAGCGTCGACACAAATTTGGGATGGAAATGGATTGAAATCCTGGAAATTGTAAGATAAGAGAAGGAGAGAAGAAGAAAGTATATGGGAGCCCCCACCCCCACTAGATTTGTGGCTGAGCGCTAATCCGTGAGATCGAGATTTGTGGCTGCCAGAGCTCCATCTAAATCTGCTCTCCCATTCGTCCACGTGTCCTGGAAGCTAGCCCCACCACTCGGGTTTCCGGGTTAGGGAGGATTGCCGGTCGTTTTCCCGGCTGGGTAGGGTCGCCGGATGCCTGTGTGGGCTCCACATGCAACTTGTTCCCAACCCCCAGTATTTGTTCTTTCCCACGAGGGGCGATAGGCCCAAGTGTACGCCGAGGCTAATGGTGGGGGCAATTCAGTCTATTCGTCGGCGAGCCCGTGGTGTGCAGATCACTACAACCTAGGAATCCTGGCGGGAGGGGTTTTGCTCTCGGGATGACACGTGGACTCATGCAATGACTCGTCTTTGACGCGTGTGAACGCAGCACATGGGATCGGGACACCAACAAGGCTGCAACCAGTGTCTCTTTTTCTTTAAATTTGGATAATTTGTTTTTCTTAGATTTGGATAAAAGTATTATTTGGATAGAGGTTTAAAAAAGGTAAAGTTGATGAAAAATCATGTATTTTTTTAAAAGAAAGATAATTGATGATTAGGAGAGGGAGCCAATTTATACTCGTTTTGTAAGGTATTATTTGACTTGATTTGCATTAGAGTGATATTATTATCCACTAGTATGTGAGAGGATATAATTACTACTTTCATTCTGTTTTGCCGGCTAAATTACATATTTGGTCACTCGAATTACATTAATCTTTCACGTTTGCCACTCGAATTACTTTCTGATAGGGTATCATAGTGACTAAGGAATTAATACCATGGCTAATGACATGGAGAAGGGAAGAAGACAAGAGGAAAAAGACAAGGTTGGAGAACAGGAGACAAGCCCAGGCACCTGACGTCAGCAAGGACAAGGGGCAGGGGGACACCCTCTGCCAAAAGGACTATGAACAGTGTCAGAGAGTCTGAGGCGCCCGACCAGAGCATTTATGGCTTGGCAGGCGCCCAGACCACTACCTAACCCTCAATTGTGTATAAATAGAAGTTCTCTCCTCATAAATAAGGATCTATCTACTCTTTACTCTAACTTCTCTCTACTTTCCCTCTCTACATACTTCTTTTCTTCTGCTTCGGACGAGGAGGGGCGCCTACCCTTCCAAGGTCATGGCTGACACCCCAAACCCCTTGGACCCGAGCGACCCCCAGTCGATCGGGCTCAAACAATTGGCGCCCACCGTGGGGCCAAGCATGACTTTGAAAGACGCTTCCAACTCAAAGAAGGGGGAGGAAAGGAGTCCGGCGCCTACAAAGACGCCACTCAAGCAAGTTGTTGGTCGTGAAGCAATCAACCCTCAACCACTCACCATTCAAGGTTTGGAGGCATCCGACGACGAGGATCCATCGGGAAACGGAGAAGGCGCGGGGCGCATGGAGGACCAACTGGCAAAGCTCCGGGAAAAGCAAGCACTTCAAATGGCGAGCATGCAAGGCCAACTAGACCAAGTCATGACCGCATTGACGGCACTCACCAAAGGTAACGACCAGGCGCCTCCCAACTCACAAGAAGCCATGGAAGAGAGGAGGCGCCTCCGAGGAAAAATGCTGGAAGCTGAGGCGCCTCCCACGAACTCCCCAAGGGAGGGTGTAGGCGCCTCGCCAAATGAGGATGCAATGGAAGCAGACGACGATGTCTACTTGGAGAAGTACGCCCGACTCAACTATGGCGCCTTGGAGGAGAGAGGTTCTCAAATCATTAGACAACCATTGTCAAAAGGAGTGCTCGAGACACCAATCCCACCAAATTTTGCAAGCATCGGTCTACCATCATATGAAGGAAAGTCTGATCCAGAGGATCACTTGAGTGCGTTCTGCCGTAAGATGCAACTTCTCAACGCGTCCGACGCCGCCTTGTGCAAGGCATTCCCCTCAACCTTCACCGGAGCGTGCAGTAGTTGGTACTCATCGCTTCCGGAGGGCATCATTCAGAGCTTCGCTCAATTCGCATTGCTATTCACAACGAAGTATGCAAGCCAGAAGAGGCAGACGCTGACGGTCCGGGCACTTGTCAACCTTAAGCAAAGAAAGGGAGAGAGCCTCAGGCACTTCATGGGGCGATGGTGGGAGGTTGCGTCCGATGTTAAAGACCTAACCCCTCCACTCATGCGCACCAACCTAATGGACGCTAGCACTAACGAAGAGCTAAGGCGCTCTCTGGCCAAAAGAGAGATAAGACAGGTGGCTGAGCTGGAGGAAAAGATTCAAAAGGCAATTCTCAAGGAGGAGGCGCTAGGGTCAAAAGAGGAAGAGCAAGGAGGTAGCTCTAGGCGCCCAGCTCAGAGCGGGAGGGGCGAGGCGCCTAGGACCAGAAGGCGGAGTCCTGATCGACGAGATGATACCCGACGTCCCAATGTCTGGGTAAGGAGAGACATTCTTGCAAATTCACAAGAGCCTCGTCGCGACCGCACCAATCGCGAGAACGTGAACCAATCTCGTGGGCAGGCAAACATGTACTGGGAGTACCACAACTCGCGCACCCACAACACCGTCGACTGCCACTACTTCAAAAAGGCACTCAAGATAATCTCCGATCGAGGAGGGGTAAGGGAGATGATCCAGAAAGCAGATCAGGGAAACCAATCCCCGCGGGAACGCAGTCGCTCCCCAGTCGCCAGGCCACCAGTACAGGAGCGCCTAGGCCCCAACCCGAACGTCAAGGAGATAAGAACCATCGCGGGAGGGGAGCCTAGCCGAAAGAAGAAGCGCAAGGGGCAAGCAAGCGACACATGGTGTATGAAGATCGCAAAACAAGATGGTCCCGACCTGTCGTTTACATCGCAAGACTATCCTCCAGAGGGCCCGTCTGAAAGCCCTCTCGTCATCAACATACAAGTAGAAGGTTTCAAGGTGTTCAGAGTGCTAGTAGATAGTGGGAGTTCCGCTGACATACTCTTATATTCTTGTTGGCGCCAAATGCAGACACCCCCTGAGGTGATGCAAGCTTCAGAGGCCCAACTTGTCGGCTTCTCCGGAGCGAAAGTAAAGGTCCTAGGAACGGCGCGCCTAAAAGTCAAGGTAGGAGATGAGGAGCCGAGTGCTACACATCCAGTGGACTTCCACATTGCCGATTGCCCATCCGCATATAATGCCATTCTAGGAAGGCCCTTCCTAGCTAAGTTTGGGGCTGTGGCCTCAACCTGTCATCAAGCAATGAAATTCCAAACACCCCAAGGAATGGGGATAGCCAGAGGAGATGTGAAGGCAGCAAAGGCGTGCTATGCAGCAACCCTACACAAGCCAAAAATACACACGATTGATGCCAGGCCAACAGAAGTGACGCGCCCAGGAGCAGTAGATTCAGAAATTGAGCTGCCATTAGACCCCGACGACCCAAGCCGAGTCGTCCGACTCTCAGCCCATTTACCGGAGCACATGCGCCTCCCAATGATCAACTTGTTACGGGAATACTCAGACTTGTTTGCTTGGAGTCCTGAAGACATGCCAGGCGTTTCCAGAGACTTTATGGAACATAAGCTCTCCGTGAAACCAGAAAGTGTGCCAATACAGCAAAAAAGAAGGGGAGCATCGTTGGCAAGGAGGGTGGCCATGATGGAAGACGTACAAAAGTTACTGAAGGCAGGATTCATCCGAGAGGTGCAGTACCCGAAGTGGTTGGCAAACACAGTGTTAGTCAAGAAACACAACGGGACATGGAGAATGAGTATTGACTTCACCTCGCTAAACAAAGCGTGCCCGAAGGACCCGTACCCCTTACCAAGAATTGACCAGCTGGTCGATGCCACCTCCAATCACGAAATGTTAAGCTTTCTCGACATGTTTTCAGGGTACCACCAAATTCCTCTCAGCGAAGAAGATCAAGAGAAAACGGCTTTCATGACCCCGTACGGGAACTACTGCTATGTAGTGATGCCATTTGGTCTGAAAAACGCGGGTGCCACCTATCAGAGGATGGTAGACAAAGTCTTTGGAGAGCAGATAGGACGAAATGTGGAGGCGTACGTAGACGATGTGTTAATCAAGAGTAAGAAAGAGGGTGACCATCTGAGCGACCTCAGGGAGACGTTCGAGAACCTGAGGCGCCACAATCTGAAGCTTAACCCCCTCAAGTGTGTATTCGGAGCAGGTGCGGGTCAATTCTTAGGCTTCATGATCACTCGCCGTGGTATTGAGGCTAATCCGAAGCAGATAAAAGCGATTGCCGAACTCAAGTCACCAAGAACAGTAAAAGAGGTTCAAGCATTGGCAGGTAAACTCGCCGCTCTTAACAGGTTCATTCCAAGGTCAGCGGATAGGTGCGCCCCACTCTTCAATTCTCTAAAGAAGAAATCCAAGTTCAAGTGGACGGAGGAATGTGAGAAGGCGTTCGAAGAAATGAAGACTCTGCTAGTGAATCCCCCCATCCTCGTAGCTCCAAAGGAGGGAGAACGTTTGTTCCTTTACATAGCCATATCAGACGTGGCTATCAGTGCGGTGCTTGTTAGGCGTCACCTTGAAAATCTTGCAGATCAGCCGGTGTACTACATCAGTAAGACGCTTCTCCCAACTGAAAAAGGTACCCAGCCATCGAGAAGGCAGCCCTAGCATTGGTAACTGCCGCCCAAAAACTGAGGCCCTATTTTCAGGGACACACGGTCACTGTACTAACTAACCTGCCAATGAAAAGAATTCTTCATAGCACAAGTGCTTCGGGACGTCTAACCAAATGGGCAGTCGAGCTAAGTGAGTTCGATATCCAGTATGCTCCTCGACCTTCAATTAAAGCCCAGGTCCTAGCAGATTTTGTTGCAGAAGGAACGATCGAGCCTACGGGAATCGACGAAGGAAGGTGGAAGCTGTTTGTCGATGGCGCGGCAAGCAAGACAGGGGCAGGCGCTGGCATAGTCTTGGAAACGCCAGGGGGAGTCACACATGAAGTGGCCTTACGATTCTCGACACTTAAAACCAACAATGCGGCAGAATACGAGGCACTTATCAACGGCATGCGCATCGCGGAGGAGCTAGGGGCAAGGCGCCTAGACGTCTTCTCCGATTCCGCATTGGTGGTTCGGCAGGTGCTGGGGGAGTTTGAAGTCAAGGAAGATTGTTTGCTGCGTTACGTGGAAGAAGCAAAGAAGAGGGCGCAGGGTTTCGAGGATTGGAAGCTCTCTCATATAGCGCGAGGTGACAACGCGCACGCGGATGCGCTTTCCAAATTAGCCACAGCTGTCGACTTTGAAGAGGAACGACATGTAATTGTCGAAAAGGAAAGCCCGAACACTCCGGGAATGGGGGTAAATAGTGTTAACATCAATCAAGAGGAGCAAGATTGGAGGGTGCCGATCGTTGAATACCTCATGAATGGTACCATTCCGACAGATTCAAAAGAGGTCACAGGAGTAAGAAGGCGGGCGGCACGTTGCACCATTATTGGCTCGGAGTTACACCGCCGGTCGTTCGAGGGAGTATATCTCAGGTGCCTGGGAAAAGCTGAAGCAAAGTGGGCGCTCCGCGAAATTCATGAGGGTGTGTGTGGGAGACATGGGGGGCCGAGAAATTTGGAAAGAACACTCAAGTTGCAAGGGTACTACTGGCCAACCATGAGAAACGATGCAAAGCAATTCGCTGCGGCATGTCACGCATGCCAAACCCATGCCCAGGAGCACCACCTTCCAGCCACCGCAATGCAAGGGAACGTCAGTCCTTGGCCCTTTGCCCAGTGGGGAATGGATCTGGTGGGTCCTTTCCCCAAAGCGTCGGGAAACGGAAATATCTTATAGTAGCAGTGGACTACTTCACAAAGTGGATTGAGGCTGAGCCGCTGGCCACTATTACAGCAAAGCAAGTCAAAAAATTTGTCTTCAACAACATACTTGCACGGTTTGGCATCCCAAACTCTATTGTCACTGATCATGGCAAACAGTTCGACTGTACCTCCTTCGCAGATTTCTGTCAAAGTTACAATATCCAGCTCAAGCTCTCATCAGTAGCATACCCAGAAGCAAATGGACAGGCAGAGGCGGCAAACAAAACCATACTTCAAGGACTGAAAAAGCGTCTTCATGAGCAGAAAGGAAATTGGGTAGACGAGCTTCCTCACGTGCTGTGGGCACTACGCACCACCCCCAAAAGCTCCACAGGCGAGACCCCATTCGCCCTAACCTTTGGTGCGGAAGCAGTAACCCCCACGGAAGTTGCGTTGCCCACCTTGCGTGTCCAATGTTTCGGCGAGGAAAACAACACAAGCATGGCTCATGAACTAGACATGCTAGACGAGAAAAGAGTTCAGGCGCTTAAGAAGTTGGTGGAGGATAAGGAGCAGTTGGCGAAATACTATAATTCAAAGCTGAGGCCACACCACATCGAAGAGGGAGATCTTGTCCTGAGGAAAGTATTCCGTCCTAACCCGAATCATGGGAAGTTGGCTGCTAAATGGGAAGGACCCTTTGTCGTAAGGGAGGTAATAGGACCAAGCACTTTCAAGCTCGCTACCATGGAGGCAGAGCGTGTGAGCAAGACTTGGAATGCAAAGCATCTGAGGAAGTACATGTGCGACCAGGAGGCACAAGAGTAGTCGGAAGATGGACATTTTGTAGGGAAGAGGGGCGTCCTTGGAGAGGCGTAACCCAAAGACACCCTAAGGAAAATCGGAGTGTGTTAAGTTTGCTTTACTTTTCTTTACTTCAAAGTAATCCAAAAGATAGGCATTTTTGTAGGGGGGAGGGGCGCCTTCAAAGAGGCGTAACCCAAAGACACCCTAAGAAAGGTAGCAGCATAGTAGGAGTCATTTTTCAGATTGGTAATGATAGAAGTTTATGGGAAAGGGGACGCACCCTGGCGATACCCCATGTAACCCTTTATTTTGCTCAAGGAATGGAGATTTATTACTCGGCAAGGCAAGGCTATCCCTGTTTTAACAGATGGAGACTCTCCTGACTCGCTTCCTCCGTCGAGGAGAAGCCTAAGCGTGTTTCCTCTTTTTCAGGAGCACACGTAAGAAAAGCTAAGTTTTTGTATAGGATAATCATCCTAGCGGAACATTTTCCCCGCGAACCGACGGAAGAGCCCTAGCGCTTACACTTGGTTTTCATCCAAGTATCGGGCGCTCGTTGTGCGAGTCCCCATGAGAGGCGACAAAATTGATATCCCTCGCAAAAATTCCTGCCTCGGCAGAAGGGGTCACCCAAACCCGCTTCCTCCGTCGAGGAGAAGCCTAGACGCGTTATTTCTTTTTCAAGAATACGCATGGGAGTCCTAAAACTTGCTTCCTTCGTCGAGAAGAAGCCTAGACACGTTACTTCTTCATCAAGAATACGTGTGAAGAAATCTAAAGATTGCTTCCTTCGTCAAGAAGAAGCCTAGGCACGTTACTTCTTCTTCAAGAATACGTGTGAGGAGACCTAAAACTTGCTTCCTCCGTCGAGGAGAAGCCTAGACGCGTCACTTCTTTTTCAAGAATACGCAGGGGCGACCCAAAACTTTCTTCCTTCGTCAAGAAGGAGCCTGGACGCGTTACTCCTTCTTATCAAATATATGACGGGACTAAAACAACATTCACAATAGGTCCAAGAAAACGGAGAACTTGCCGATAACACTGTTCAAAATAACAGCCCAAAGGCTAAACATCCACAGACATGCAAGGGAGAAATGAGCAGAAGATAACATAAAATTGACTAAGTCCAAACGAACAAAGAAAAGAAAAAACGTCCCAATTCTACTAGTCCGACTTGCTCGAGTGATTGTCGGACGAGCTAGAATCACCATCGGTACCACCATCCGAGGCGCCACCCTGACCATCGACAGAAACCACACCCCCACCACCTTCCCCGGCACCAGCATTGGCATCAACGTTGTCACCCACTCCCTCTTCCCCAACCTTCTCGACGTCAACCTCCACATCATCGGCAGAAGAGTCACCCTCATCCAAGGGGTACGGGTCCGAGTCAGAAGGCTCGTTATCCGTACCAAGGGAGAGGAAGTAATCATCCATAGCCTGCCAGACCTCCGGAGTATCCCACTTCATGTCAGGATTATCGGAGCGGACTTTCTTACGAATGCCGATGAAAGCCCTCTTCTTCACTCCGAGCAGAAGGTTCTGCTGCCACTCACGAAATTCCGCTGATGACAAGTGGGCGTCTACGGCATCTTCACGCTCCTTGATCAGTCTCTTCTTAAATTCCTCCTAAAAAAAAAAAAAGAGGTTTACGCGCTTAGCTCGAATGAAGGGAGAGTAAGAAGGACACGACAAGAGAACTCACCTTCTGGTGACCCCTAGCGGCAGACATCGCCAACAGCTCCTTCTCCAAGGTATCAATCCGCTTCGCCTGGAATGCTATCTCCTTCTCCTTCTCTTCACGAGCAGAAACACTCTCAGCAGCCAAGGCGTCCGAAAGCTGCCGCTTCACCGATGCCAACTCATCCTCCAGACGAGAGTTAACACCTTGGAGGGTGATCTTGTCAGTTTTCAACTGAGAAGCCTGCAGAAAGTTCTGATGGGCGCGATCCCGATTCTCCGCACTCTTGTCGGAAAGAGTAACCACATCAAGCATCGCCTAAACAAGAAACAACAACAATTAGTAATGAAGCATGATCTACTAATAGTAAAAGTGTGTGGGAGCATACCTGGAACAAGTGCTGACACGCCGAGCCTGCAGGAGAGGTACCCTCGTCAAGGGGAACCTTAAGGAACTTCTTCAACTCCAAGGCCGAAGTAAAAGCGCTTGGAGCATTGAGGGCAGCAGACGGAGAGATTGGAACAGGCTCCTTCGGCTTTACGGCACGTCGCGAGCGAGGAGGTGCCAAAATCTCATCAATACTCCCAAGACTTGGCTTGTTCTTCTTCTTCGGAACCACAACGGGAGAGTCGGCCGAGGCATGGCGCTTGCCTAATCTCTTCTCTGGGAGAGGGTCGCGCGCCCCCAAGGAAGGAAACAATCGAGGAGACGCCTCCTCGACGTCGTCAAACGCCTTGCCAGATGAACGGGGAGTTCGCTCGGCAGGGATGCTGGGCGCCTTCTGTGCCCTAGCTCCGGAGGCCCCAGGGGGATCCAATGGGAACTTCAAACCATCTCCAAAATGCCCGACAAGATAGGATCCAATGGGAACTTCAAACCGCACTTCAGATACTCCGAGTAAACCGCAAACCAACCCTCGGGGCAACTCCCGATGCGAGCATTGCGATCCGGAATCGCATATCCCCAGTCCGTAGGGTAACCTAGGCCGCGGATATAGGATATAACGCAATGAAGTTGAATGCTGGGTCGCTTGTCAGGACCCAGTAGGCGCGCCGAAGAGGGAGGCGCCTCACCACCCCACATCCCCCGCCATGGCAAAATCGTATAGCTTGAATCGGTAACCGTCCGAGAAGAAGACGGGCGAGGGTCGGGGTCCGCACTTGACGTATCATCTTCAGTAAGCACCTCCTGACGGGTATATGATTGATCATCCTCGATGTCACTAGCAATCTCGGCGAGTCTCCATTTGGATCGTCTATACACTGTTCGATCCACTAAGATTCCCAAAACAGCAAATATACGATATTAAAGTTAACGAGATAGAGAGAGCGTAGCTTACCCATCTTCCTAACTTTACTTGAGGACGCCTTCTCTTTTCCTTTCTTAGAGGCAGAGGCGCCTCTCGCAGACGCAGAAGGTTGAGAATTGTTGGAGGCCATGAGTGAGTGGTAAGCAGCGAAGTCAACCTTGGAAGAGAAGCGTGTACAACGCCTAAGCCGATAATGCGCGGGTAGAAAACCGTTGCCTCCCGTGACTGTGCTGTGATAGGCGCCTCTGACGCCTTGAAATTGGAACCTGCGAGCAAACAAAGTGTCAGGGCGCGAGTAAGCAGAGCGGTGCTTTTGAAAGAAGCGTACTGACGGCATTGCATTAAAATCACCAAAGAAAATTCATCAAAGGAATACGCTTCGCCCTAAGCAAAAATCAACAACCAACAATAAAAAGGGGGGAGGCACCTTGCAAGAATCACCAGGATCAAGGGCGCCTCACAAAATCATCATCAAAACTTGGCAACGAAACAAGGGAATGCGCTTCGCCCTAGCAAAATTCAGCAACCAACAATGAAAAGGGGGGAGGCGCCTTGCAAGAATCATCAGCATCGAAGGCGCCTCACAAAATAATCATCAAAACTTGGCAACAAAACAAGGGAATGCGCTTCGCCCTAGTAATATTCGACAACCAACAAATAAAAAGGGGGGAGGCGCCTCGCAAGAATCATCATCCTAAGCGCCTACCCTTTAACCTAAAAAATCACACCTAGTTTGCGAAAAGTAGCGCCACTTGCGCAAAGAAAGGGAATTACAACAGGCTTGAGAGGCGTTACCTATCGAGGAGACGCCGTCGTCGCAGGAAGATAGGAAGCGCCGGTGAGAAGGGGGGAGGGGCGCCTTTGCTAAAACGTCGACCGAGGCGCCGAGGAGAAGGGGAGCAGGGAAGGGGCGTGGGGCGCCTTCGTAAAAACGTCGGCCGGGCGCCTTTGCTAATGCGTCGGCCGAGGCGCCGAGGAGAAGGCGAAGTAAGGCGCCGAGGAGAAGGGGAGCAGGGAAGGGGCGCGGGGCGCCTTTGTAAAAGCGCGGCCGAGGCGCCGAGGAGAAGGGGGACAGGAGGAGAGACGCAGGAAAGAGGGGCGGCCGAAAAAGAGGGTGGAAGAAAAGTGAAGAGGGAGGGGGATGAAGGGTTTAAATAGGAAGGAGGTAGGGGAGCGCGCGGTTCTCGAAGCGGGCTTCCCTAAAGCCCAGCCTCCCACTACCTCAATTAAACCCCCCCTCCTCCAAATTTGAGTGGGCTTGGTCCAAAACTGCTGCTAGCAGCCTACAGGGGGTAGCGTCTTCGCTATCACCCCATGCCTTGCCCGTAGATTGATCTTTACCAATATTCTAATTATTTTGTTTATTTACTCTTTTATAATTTTTTTTCTCTTGTCCCTCTTTACTCTTATTTGAGCTATCTATGTATTTTATTTTCGTTTTTACTCTTACTTTTATTTTTATTTTTATTTTTATTTTTATTTTTGCTTTTGCTTTTTCATTCCAGTTTTATCTTTTAGACTCTTTTTTAGAGTATACTTGTTTGCCGATGCCACACTATTTGTGCCATCGCCAAAAGGGGCAATTGATAGGGTATCATAGTGACTAAGGAATTGATACCATGGCTAATGACATGGAGAAGGGAAGAAGAAAAGAGGAAAAAGACAAGGCTGGAGAACAGGAGACAAGCCCAGGCACCTGACGTCAGCAAGGACAAGGGGCAGGGGACACCCTCTGCCAAAAGGACTATGAACAGTGTCAGAGAGTCTGAGGCGCCCGACCAGAGCATTTATGGCTTGGCAGGCGCCCAGACCACTACCTAACCCTCAATTGTGTATAAATAGGAGTTCTCTCCTCATAAATAAGGATCTATCTACTCTTTACTCTAACTTCTCTCTACTTTCCCTCTCTACCTACTTGTTTTCTTCTGCTTCGGACGAGGAGGGGCGCCTACCCTTCCAAGGTCATGGCTGACACCCCAAACCCCTTGGACCCGAGCGACCCCCAGTCGATCGGGCTCAAACACTTTCCTTTCATATTCACTACTAACTTTACAAATCGTTTCAGCGTAGTCACCGACCGTTAGTCTCCGTTAACTCCGTCAGTTTTTTGATGACGTGGCAACCAGAATTGTTGACTGGACAGTTAACTTTATGACATATCAATTAAAAAATTAGACAAAGCAAGGAGAAGTGGGTCCATCATAATAAAACACCCAATGAAAGAATGGCATGTCTGTTCTTCTTCGCCACCGCCTCGCTCTGCCAACCCTTCGAAGACCTTCGTAAAGCTTCCAGACCGGACTGCCTCCTCGCCGACATATTCCTCCTCTGGTCCACTGATTTTGCGGGCAAATTCAGAATCCCCATACTAGTCTTCCACGGCACTGGCTTCTTCTCACTCTCCGCCACCGCGAGACGATCCGGATGCACGAGCCTTACAAAAGGTTCTCCCCGGATTCAGAACCGTTCCTGATCCCAAACCTCCTCGAAGAAATTTCGATGCCCTGGAAGCAGCTGCCGCCTGCCGGAGTATGCGAGGTAGGATGGGGAATCGGGGTTCGGGAAGTTGATGAAATCGGTCAGGGAGTCGGAACTAAAATGATACGACGTGATCGCCAACAGTACCGATCTTTTCTCTCACGACAAAATTTTGAGACCAGACCCCCTTCGTTGCTTCATTCATCTCCAGAAACAAAGAATCCAAATTTCCCACTTAATTAATTACCGCCTCAGCTTTGTCGCAGTTAAAAGTGGAGAGTAACTCGGTCACTTTCTGGACATCAGATCAACAAATCCCTCTTTCCGCCACCAAAACTCACGTCTCCAGAATCTTCTATACTTTACCTCTTTATATATTTGTTTGTTTAGTTTTTAGTTCCAACTTTAGTTTTTGAGCGGGATTATGCCGTACTGCAGAGCCTCTCTCGGGAGACGAGCTTGGCACATTGATCCCCTGTCTCTTTGAAATAACAACAGGGTAAAGGCATCATAAAGGGGGAAAGAAGCTTTAAAGTGCCTGAAATGGCTCGCTTGTAAAGGAATCGGGTCGGTCATTTACATTTGATTTGGGAGCATGTCGACGTTCAGGGCAGAGCAACTAAGGGAGATTGAGATCTAATTGGAAGCTTCGGGAGGGACGAGAGCGACGAGGAAGAATGGCTGCGGCAAGAATTTGAGACGAGATTGTGAGGGAAAGGGATGGTGACGTGGCCTATGTTCACAGAGAAGCTTCTGACGGAGGTGACGGTGGGGGCGAAGGAGTGGGTGAGGCTGCTAGGGCGGTGAGGAAGGGGAAATGAGGAAGAATTTTTTTTTTAATGTTTACTTTTTATTTCATTGGCTGTTTTAATATGGCGGGCCCACTCATCTCCTCTCTTTTGTCTATTTTTTTAATTTTTAATTGACATGTCATTAAGTTAACAGTCTAGTCAGCAATTCCATTTGCCACGTCATCAAAAAACTGACGGAGTTAACGGAGACTAACGGTCGGTGACTATGGTGAAACGATTCATAAAGTTAGTGGTGAATATGAAAGGAAAGTAATTCGAGTGGCAAACGTGAAAGATTTATGTAATTCGAGTGACCAAATGTGTAATTTAGCCCTGTTTTGCCTCATTTTAACCCGTCTTATCTCAAATTTTCGAAGACAGAGTACAACTAAAGCTCAACATAGCTGCAATTTGAAGGGCAAAGGTGGAAAGCATGCAGCCTGAAGTAGTACTGCTGTAATACTGTTAATGGCCATCTGTTGCGAGCAACTAGACTTGTCGGGTTAGATTAAGGATGCAGCAATGAAGAAAAAGAAAAGCCCGCTCACAACTGGTTACCTGTGAACTGTGATTCTTTCCGAAACAAACTCCTTTCCACTTGCATGGTTTATGGGTTCGTTTCTCTCCTCATGACAAGAGCTTGTTCCCTTTCCCTTATCATGGTCTCCTATCTACGGTTTAGCGACGGTTTGGGTTTAACTAAATCTTGGGCATGGGACATTTGGATATTCGTGTGTGTCTGTCGCGTCCAAAGTGGTGAATAGAAATTGGAAAGCCTATAATCCACCCCCCTGCACATATAAATCGTGATAAACATGAGTAATATTAATAGTTGGGGTTTAGCACTGTTGGGCCGCGTAGTTGAGCGGTTATGGGCCTCGGGCCTAGGAGGAAAGCACCAGCCAGTCGAGCCCAATGGAGTATCCGGCCCGGCCGGGGATATCA